AATTCTGGGAGTTGAAGTCCACATATCTTAAAGTGGCCAAGGTTGAGAAACACTGGTATAGATGATGCTAGAAGTTACTAGTGGGGTATTAGATGATCCAGAGCATTCATTTAGATAGAGGATTGATGAGGAAGAGGTTTTTACCAAACAGGATGTCTCTCCCTCTCTCTCTTCCTCTCTGACAACGTAGCACATACAAAGAAAAATAATTTCTATTTGTCAAAGGAAGTGGATTTTTGGATGATATGCAGTCTTATTTATTATTTAGATTTATATGGTCACTCATCTCACCATAGCAACTCCAGGTGGCTAACAACAGATAAAAACACTATTGAACTAAAACATCTAAAACAAATAAACCCAACTACAATAAAGCCTTTCTTGGGTAGAAGTGTTTTGAGTGAGATTCGATCAAGAAAACACTTCTGGGCTTATCTTCTGGGAACAATTTGGGGCTGTGTTTCTCAACCTTGGCAGTTTGAAGATGTTCTGGAAGTTGAAGTCCACACATCTTCAAATTGTCAAGATTGAGAAACACTGATCTGGGGTGTATAAATAGAGCCATGTTGGGGATAAATTGTCCCGGGAGATGACACTGACATGATGGCAGATAATCAATCAATGAAATCAGAGTGCTGAAAGAATAAGTAAGTTGCACCTGAGATATCTAAGTTGACTTGTCCTGTTGCAATCACACTCCCTTCCATAGTGATTGTATACGTTCCCGAATTGTCCGTCACACAATACTTAATATGAAGGGAGCAATCTGCACCTAAAGTCTCTCGACCAGTGTAAGCATCTCCAACCATGTAAAACACAGGTCGGTCATAGGTAAATATCAGTTCCTCTGAGTTCGCCGCCATCCCTCGGTACCAGCTGCATCTTGTAAAATTCTCAGAATCCAACCTGGGGGTAAGGAAGATGTTCTGTCCTTTGGTAGGCTTCAGTGGTGTCAATGTTATTGGAATATCTGTGTTGGCCACATCATGGCCTTCAATCAGCTGAATGCAGGAATTCATCAGGAGCATGGCTGTCAACCGGGGGAAGAAGAGCAATTTTTGCTGTAAATCAAAGACTTATTCTTGGGTATGGTCAGCAACACACAGGCCCTGGCTAACATGTGGCATTCAACTCTTCACATTTGGCAACCCCCAATACCTGCTGTAAGTACACATGCTCTTTAAAGGCAAGCATTCCATGAACATCCTTCGACAATACATTCCATGAACATCATCGCAAAAGTCCTACAAGGAGCTTCAGCTGATTGTGTGAAAGTCAGGGTTCCTGGGGGAGGGTGCCAAAAAGGTCAACGTGGCAGCTTCAGTGGTGCAGTTGCCTCCACTATCTTGATTCTTTTGACTCCTGCTCCACAGACAGTGCTCATGAAATTGAGTTGGCCGCAGCCTACAAATGCTCCAGTTTTATAGGCTTGGGAGGCACCACAGAAGTAATCTACTGACAGAAGACCATCCAGCCTCTGCTTGAAGACCTCCAGTGACGGCCTTCAAACCTCCAGCATTATTGCAGACCTGGAATTTAACTGTGCTTGTACAGACCCACTTGTTCCCCTCCTCCCTGATTCATGAGATGCAGCCTGAAAAGATGTCAGAAAATGGTCCTGAAGAGCATGTTGTGAGAGTTCTCCAACAATCTGTTTTCGTAGCATAGAACTGTTATTCTGGTCTACGATAATCCTGCAAAGTGGCTTTCTAAAGAACACTGAGATACACCAGGAAACCAGAGAAGGTTCTTCCGGTGAGATAGAATGGATTCACGCAGCACACATATCCTGGCTTACCTGAACCACATTTTATCCAGCCCAGCCGCTATGGCTCACAAGACACCTTGAGCCACAAGTTATCCACCCACATTTTTGCCCAATGTTGTGTGTAAGTGCAGTCAGGGCATGGGAAGGAGTGGGTCTCTACGGTGAAAAGGATTAAAAAGTAGGCTATCTTGGATCTCTTGGGGGTTCTACTGAACACAGCATCTTTGTACTACGCAGGGGCTGGCACACCCAGCTTTCCAGATATCCAAGGTTGGCTGGACTAAGCCGGTTGGCACAGGTTTAGTCCTTGGATGGGAATTCACAAGGAAATCCCACGGCTGTAATGTAGGCCGGGAGGAGGAAAAAATATCCTTCCATATCACTGATAAGGAAACTACCTACATGGGCCTGTCTAGGAGGTCACCAAGAGTCAAACAAGATTCAAAGGTAAAAAGATTAAGAAAGCCTAAACTCCATTAAAAGATTCCCGGCAAGGCAATCAAACTGGTTCTCCCATCCTGCTCAAAGGCAGCCTAGTGCCAGCAAGCTTTCTCCTGATGCCTTGGGCTGCTAGCCGCTAGCTCCATGATCCTGCGTAATGGCAGTCCAGCTCCACTGAAAAGCATTCCGCCGAAGGAAACTGCCGGTTTGAAAAAGGGGACAGGTGAGGTCTCGGTGCGATGCCCTTTCAGGCCCATCGCGGAGCGCAATCCGAATCAGCGACGGCAACAGGGCAGGGGCGGCGGGGTAGCTACGGCGGAGTAGGTGAACCCGAATCCGTGGCGGGGCACGAATAAGGGAAAGAGCAGAGACCGAGCTGCTGTTGCCCAGTAGTGCCTGCGCGGAGCCGAGCTCGCCAAGAAGGCGGAGGGCTTCGGCAGAACCCGCAAAGCCTCGCAACTGGGGGCCCCGCCGCCCGAGACCGCCGCCCCCGACGGCCGGAGCCCGCTCCCACCCACCTGCCAGCAGCGCCGCTGGGCCGCAGCCCCTCCACCGGGGCGACGCCCGTCGCTCCCCGCCCTCGCCGGACGGCTGGATCCCCCCGCTCCGCGGAGCACCCTTTCCCCCGTCCGCCCCCTCCTCTTCCTCCGGAGCCTCCGACTCGGACG